ATTTCACAGGCTCCATGTGAGAGAGAGCATTCTTGTGTGTGATTGAGAAACAAATGTGGTAGAGTGAACAGTAGGGAGAAATGTGAGGACTGGAGGTAAGTAAGTGAACACTAGAGTCAGTAGCCAAAAGTAGACACACTTCATATATAATATATACACACAGATATAGCAAACTATGCACTTTCTTTCATTATGACCAAATGTTAGTTCTAAGCCTATCAAAGCAGTATTCACACGTGTATGTTACTGGATTAAAATAGCTTCTATTTATTGATATATAAATATATATTTCAAACAGTTCCTCCTATTATTACAAGAACATATTCAAGGTCACACTTACCATCACTATTGAGAGAGCGTATATCATAGGAGCCTTTCCTGAGGGATTTAATTGAGCCGCGAGGATGAAACTGGTCCACCGAAGAGGGAAAGTCCAGCCGATCCAACGCGTGGGTGTCACTCGTGTAAACGTAGAATTCATTTTTCCTTGAAAAGCAATTTTCTGTTAACTTTCATTCTGATGAGTCTTTCAGTAAGTGTGGGAATTAATGTCTCTTTTATTTTCCAATCATGTTTTTTTTTTTTTTTAATATATTTATACTTTAGTCCTAACTTTACAGAGATTCCCAAGGTTTGATAATCCAGTTTCACATTGATAATATAGGGAAATCAAATATGTATACTTGATTAAAGTTACAAGATGTCTGACTTATTATATCATAAACACAGAAAAAAATCTATTGTTAAATCAACTTTCAATCTAACAGTAAAGCCAAATGTAAAGAATAAAATCATATTAAGAAACAGAGGATAATTAAATAAAATGGAAATTTTTACAATAACTATTCAATGTCAACCACAAACTAAAAAATGACCTATTCATCATATCTACCGTGACTATTATTTGCAAGACAATGACCTATCATAACAGGAACATGAAGCCCTACCGAGCATAAGGAGCAACTGGTATGACTTTGGATGGTAAGTGTAGTGTGTCACCAGACTTCCTTCTACACGTAACCAGACCCTCCCATTCTCTACCTCTCCTCATCTGCATATTGACAGCCTCTGAGATGTCAAGATTTACCTGTCGGATTAGAGGGATCAGTTAGTTCAAATCTCATAAAAAAAAGAAAAGAAGGTAAAACACAACTAATATATGCGTATATAGAATATAAGTATCAACAAAAAGACAATCACATGATGAATGACATATATGCATAAATATCACATAAAATACAGCAAACTAACTCTTGAATCGCTTGGTCTATGATCAATGGATTGCCTATGGTCAGATATGGATTTGTGGTCCACCGATGACTTCTGATGCTCCATTGATGTCCTGAAGTCAACCGAGGGCCTCTGGTCGATTGTACGTAATTCATGCTTGTGGTTATCAGAAGTGTGGAGCTCCCAGAGATTTCTTCCAATTACATCATCTAGTGCATACCCCAACAGGGTCTCACAGGGGCGGTTGATGTACTGAAGGGATAAAGGACATTTATTTTATTTTATTAAAGCCTAGCAGCATAGACAATAATGATATTTTCACTAATTAAGTCTCAAGGTTTCATTGCCTTGAAGTATTACATTTTGCCAAAGATCCTTAACCTTGAAGCATCATATGGAAAATATTTAAATCCATTCTTTATCTTATCATTATCTTAATGTCCATCCTTCATTTTATCACTGTTATTGCTTACTTGTATTCTGTGTTGAGTGTCTGTGATGTGCACCACCTCTTTGCATGCATCTAGGGCCGTGAAGACAGCTTGCATCGCCCGAAGTTGCGACTGGTTGGTCAGCTCAGAGTGTTCAATTTGTATGAGGTCATTGAGAACTCCACCAACAGTTGACACTTCTGTTACAATCTGGAAAAAAAGTGCAAGTTCAGCTGATAAGGAGGTTATCAAGTTGGATTTTTTTTTCATGTCTCATAAAGGAGAAAGGCTTTTGACTCTCTTATCACAAAGCAGATACAGTAGTTTTTTTTTACCCTATTGAATCCATTCTTCAGCCATGGTCCTACGGTTGCATTCTCTCGATCCGCAAAGCTAATAATTTGGGGAAAGATGTTTAGTGACAGATGTGAAAAAAATCAAGAGCAGGTAGAAAAAGTTATATAATGAAATGAAATACATATCATACATTCCATAACATCATCACTAA